GGGGGGACTGGAATGGGGAACACATGTAAATCCATGGCTGATTCATGTCAATGTATGACAAAAACTACTGCAATGATGTAAAGAAATTAGCCTCCAACTAATAAAAATAAATGAAAAAAAAAAAAGTTAAAAAAAAAAAGACTGCGTGCCTCCAATACAGGGGGTGCAGGTTTGATCCCTGGTCAGGGAACTAAGATCCCAAATGTGGAGCAGTGCAGCCAAAATTAAACAAAAACAACCACCCGGATAGCAACATCAAACTCGTAATGTCTGCAACTGGACTTTGCAGGAAATTTGACCTCCTTTACCAGAGAGGAAACTTGGGCTCAGAGAGGCGAACTATCCTGCCTGCTTTCACAGCCAGTTAGTAGCGTCAGATTAAAGTTCCCCAATCCTGGTCTGGAGATTATTACATTGGAGCACAAAGAATGGCCTCCTCATCTCTAGCAACAGGCCCATCTGGCATCTTCCTTGGTGGAAGTGTGGCCTAGGCTCTGGCTGGTGGCTGCCAGACCTGTTACCTGGGCATGGCATCAGTGCTGCCACGAGGCTGTGGCCTGGGCAGAGAACACTGCAGACAGGTACAAACACATGCAAGTGAGGGCCTGGAGAGGGTTGGGTTTTTAATACTTCAGAGGGGCCTGGTCCTTATGGCAGCTCCCCCCAGTCCACTTCAAAGGCCCTGATGCCCTGGGGACTCAGAGTTGACATCAAGGCAGCATTTCTGCCCTGTTCTCCCTGCCAAAATCCCTTGTTCAGTGAGGACTCTCGGGGCCCCCTCTCCTCCCAGGTTCCTCACTCCCCGCCAAGGTGCTGGGACCCATGGCAGGAAAAGAATGTTTACTTAAAGGCTGACAGTTCAAAAGGAGTGGGGGTTGGGGGATCCTAATGGCACCACAAGTTTGCTTTATTTTCCAAAGCTCTGCCCCAGGGAAAGGCGATCCATCTGCCTGCAGACCGGGGTGGAATGTCGGCCTCATTCTCCTAGCCAGCCCAGGCTGAGGGCTCTTCCTGGGGCCCTTGGTCTGGCCAGCAAAGGTGGCAGACACTGATAATAGGGAGGGAGTCAAAGGTTAAACAGCAGAGATTAGATGAACACAAAGGCTTGTTAGGAAGTGTTAACATCTTCCCTGCAAATATACACAAGCAGCAGAAGCGGGAGAGAAGCAGCCTGGCACACACAGCTCAGCTGAACCCAGTGGGCCTGTGTAAGGCCTCGCTGTGCAGAATGTGGTATGTCCTTAATGCCTACCTGGCTGTGTCCTGGGGAGGGGGCACAGGGACACACCTGTGTCCCACGCTGTCAAGGCACATGCCCCACGCAGGGGAGGTAGAGTCCAGGGCTTGGCAATCAACAGCAATGACAAAATCAAAGGGAACTTGAGTTGCACAACTTGCCTCAGCACCCCTGTTCTACTCCCATCACCTCTCACGTGGCAGGGAGGTGGTGGCAGAGTAGGTCTGGGGGCTCAGCTCTGTTTTGAGTCTCTTCTGATGGATTTAGTTTATTGGTTGAGGTTAAACCATTTTTTTAGGGGCTCCTGATGGGCAGCCTTCAAGGGAGCATGAGGCATCTGCTTTCTCTCCTCAAGGAACAGCTCACACTCCCTTATCTCCATCCCTGCCTTGGGACTTGCCCTGAGAATACCATGATTCACCTTCTCACCAGCGCCTGGACTAGAGAGGGACCCACTGTGCTTCTGGGAAAGTCCAAACACCCAGCCCCTGGCAGCCCTCGGCAGGCAGTGCACATTTCTTAGGCATCAACTGTGTCCCAGAGCTGGGAACTGGGGCTTTAAGGATGAAGAAGAAACAAGGCCATATCGCTGCCTGAAACCTTGTGTTTCTGCTGAAAGCTAAGCCTTTATAGTGGGGTAGTCCCTGGGCTTTTAGCTGATGTGCAACAACCCCCATTCTCACCTGCCTTCACTATCCTGGGTCTCAGCCACATAGTGAGAGATGACATTTATGAATTCTAAATCTGCCAGGCACTGTTCACACCACTGTTCAACACTGACTCCTAAAAACAATGCTCTCAGGTTGGTTACTTCTGTCATCCTCTTTTATAGAAGAGGAGACTGAGGCACAGGCAAGTTGGGTATCTTGCCCACATCATAAAACTGGTAAAGGGAGATGCCCTTATTACAGTGATAATCCTCTCTATCTCCTGACTCCTCCATCGCTCTCCATTCTCACCTCAAAGGATCAGACCATCTAGGTTCCAAGGATGGAGCAGAAATGGGGGGTAGTCTCCCCCAGGATTCAACCACCATGCAGGTCTCCTGAGCACTCCCTCTAACACAGAGTGGCCTTCCTTTCTGAATGAAAAAGTGTGCAAAGATGTAAGTGGACGTACGGGCTCTCAGGAGGACTCCTGGCCCCGCCCTGTGACTCTGGGCAGGCCACTTAACTTCTGGGCCTGTTTCTTCCTCCAGATTCCTTTCTCAAATAAAATAGCTGCCCCAGATGAACTTTTAAGTCGCTGGGAACAGAACAGGCTAACCTAGTACCTCTCTGCAACCTGTGCAAAAAGACAGCTCCTTCACTCTGTTTCAGAGATGACCTACTGCCCTGCATCACTCTTTCCCTGCCACCTTCCCTTCCCCATTCCCAGTCCTTTCCCAACCTGTTCTCCCTTGCAGTGAACTGAGAAAGGGCACAAGAGGCCAGGCCTAGAGAGCGAGAGGCTGTGAAGGAAGCTGAAAGGAAGCGGGACAGCTGTGGAGTCACATGGGCTGGGCCCCACATACCTCCTGTGGGTGCTCTACACACCTACACACAGGCTCGGCCAGAGTGGTCGAGGGAAGCCTGTGTAGTCAGTCTGTCCCTTAGAAGATCAGTAGGCACATCTTCCCTTCTTGCTTAAACATCAACAGTCCAGACAAACTGGTCACCTCTGCCTATAATGCACATTCACATATTTAAGGCTCTCAGAAGTCCTACCAAAGAGAAACTTTAATTCAGTTTCCTAACCGTATTTGATCACAGAATCCTTTTTTCTAGAGATGCCTATTAACACTCCCACAGAGTTAGTATTACTGATGTCAAATCAGCCAAACTCTCTTCAGGCTCCAATTTCCAAAGAAATTGGAATTGGCCTCCAATTTCCTCAGGCTGGCCACAGGGCTGAGTATAATATACAATTTCCTAATTCCCCAAACAATCTATGATGTACGCATGAGTATTCTCCTGTGATAGATGAGGAAACCTTGCCCAAAATGCTATGATTTAATATGTGGCAGAGGCCAGATTCAAGCTGACATCCTCCTATTCCACGCCCAGCTCATTCCACTTAAAGCTGCCAGCTTCTAAGGCTGAGGCTCAGAACCTTCTCTCTGCACAAGCATGCTTATTGGGAACAGATGATGCCACAATCAGATCGTAGAAAAGCACCTTCTTCCTTCCCTAGTTCATCTCTTGCTATTACCTGAGGCCAAGGACATAATTCACTGGAATCAATTCCATCAAGAAAAGCGGCAAACTCAGTTTTTCAGGGACTCTGGCTTTTATTGATAACCATATTCCAGAATATTAGAATCGGGGCAGATATGGAACCTTCAGGTGAAGGACGTCAAATCAGAAAAGCCACAGTGTGGTGGAAACTAGAGGCCTGGGCATTAAAACCGTCACTATCCCCGCCAGTAAATCAAGTGCATCATGCTGACTTTATAGATACTCTTATGGAATCGTTCATATATAGCACAAGAATAAAAATACATACCCTGTCTACCACTGGATGGTGTGATGATCAGAAAATAGATTTTTACATTATCTTGAAAAAGTTAAACTCCGCTCAAAGGAATAGCCATTGAGTTGTGTATATTTAGAGGAAGTAAAGGTACAGGACGTGTTATTACTCCAAGTAGAAAATGAACGTGCCACTAGGCTGAGGAGGAGCCGGTTTGGGGCTTAGCAGTCTCCCTCGCCTTCCTCCCAGCAGAGGGTCCCAAGGTTGTGCTGCGCCAGGCTGGGCAGCACTGACCCTGAGATCTCAGTGCAGGCCCTGAAGTGAGCACTCACATACTCCTCTCCCCTCTGTGGGAATCCGATCCTGGTCCTGCTCCCTCTGGAGGCACTACTCCCATCACCACCCGTCCTCACCCAGCAGTTCAGCAACGTCTCCCCTTGCCTGGGGCGCTGGAGTGGAGCGCCTGGCCAACAGCGCCACCTATGGTTGGATATGCGCAGGAGATGGTACCCAGAGGACCGGCCTGCAGATGAATTTTCTGGTGAGCTAGCTAGCCTCTCTTCTCTCGCTCCCTGGTAATCACATTTCTGCTTGATATCTGTATTCGACAGTGACCTCTGGGGGACAAAAGGGAGGCAGCAGCCAGCTCCACAAACTGCTGGGCTGCAGATTCAAGTGCTATCAGAAGCACTTTTGTTCCTAGTTTGGACCCAGGGCCTCTGACGCCAGGGAATGCTTGCTGAAGCATGGAGTTTGTTTTCCTAAAGGCAATTTCTCTGTTGTCTGAAATTGCTAAATTCTACTTTAGGCACTGACTCCTGTTAATGATGAGAACAATAACGGGAATAAACTGCCTTTTATCTGAGGGCTATAAAGTGCTTTACAAACGCAAACCCTTATTATTATGACTTTATATTTATAGACAAGGCTCACTTTAGGGGCTGCTGGCTGCATGTACAGCAATAATCCTGAAATTAATTCATTCATCTCCACCCCTTCCCCACCCCTGAACCCTGCCAAAGTGATAGGGTGTGGGGGTCAGAGAGGAGGGGAGAACCCAGGGTGGCACTAGGGGAGCCTGGGAGCCACACTGCTTTCCTGTGGCCTCACGGACGTGAGGGAGATGGGAGGGGAGGCTGGCACCACACCACCTGAGAAGATGGACAAATACTGGGTCCTCCTCACTCCAGGTAAACTGGAGGGAGCATCTCTGGCCTAAGCTGAGCACCCCATGAGACATGCTGGGTAGCTTCACAGTCTGTGGACTAGTAACTCATAAAACCTCCCATCTCAATGCCCTAAATCTATTTCACGGGAGTTGGTCCTACACTGCAATCCCTCTGACTCAGTTCACAGCCAAGTCATTACGGGGCTCTTCTCTTCTGTGGTCAGTCAGAACTTCAGAAACCCAAACGAGATCAGTGCATTTCCAAGATATCAGCCCAGAAGCAGTCCCGCCAGGATCAGATCTCCACACCTCGGTCACCTTCTGTCCCCTCAGCCCCAAAGTTTGCCTGCCCCTAGCATACCATGAGAATAGGAGGAAAAGGGACGTGAGGACCCTCTTTGAAACATCATGCAAGAGACTTCTAAGAAGCCAAAGCACCCACCCCCTGTCCCTCTAGGGACAACACCCCTAGGGTGTTGGTTGGATCAAGTTTGCTGCTCCCAGACCAGTGCTTTTAACTTCTGTAACTGCCACCTCAGACAGGGGTGCCTTCCAGGCTCTGGCTCCCTGCCAGCTCCAAGCTCATAGTGGATTGGAGCCAGCCAGAGGTCAAGGTATAGTAACCTTACTGCAGAACCACCTAAGATCACAAGTCAGTGGCTGGGTTATTTCCTCATCCCCTCATTCATCCAACAAATGTTTACTGAGCTCCAGCATATGCCAAGTACTGGACCAGACACTCATTGTCCAATTTCCCTGCCCTGATGGAGCTGATTACAACATTCAAGCTGGTTCTGATTACAGTATTCAAGGGCTGAAGACAGAAAGCCCTTCAGCTTTTAGTACCTACTCTAGGGCTGTGGTGAAGCCCTTCTGCCTCTCTCAGAGCTGGAAGAGGAGGCTGCTCTACCCTCTGGGGTGGGGAACCATCTGAGTCCTAACCCTAGGTCAAACCCCACCCCCACCTTGCTCATACACAAGTAGGCAGGTGCCTACCACGCCACTTACTTTTTGTTGGTTGTTCTCACGACAACACAGTGCTCCTTCTGGTCCACACAGACGCTGTAAACGTCCTTAGGGTATGGGAGGTTTCGAATTCGCCACTGGAAACTCATCTTGGTATCCTTGCGCATGAATATGGGCTGCAGAAGGCAAATCCAATTCAAGGACTATTCTTGGAGAGGGGTAGGAAGGGATGGCTCCCCTCCACAGAGCTCTACCCAGGGACACAATGGGAGATCCTCAGCTCTCCTCTGAGGCTGCCACTGCTGTGACCTACGAAGCCTGGAGCCCCTGCTCTGGGATGACTAAGCCAAAACCCTTTGGGTATCCATTCAAGGGAATGTCTCTAGAGCACTGTGTCCAGGTGGGCACACTGGAGATGAGGAGGTGAACAAGACATGGTGCCTGCCCTTGAGGGCTAGCACCCCGCTCCCCCAGCCTCCCCAAGACACCTGACAGATAGACATACATTGGCATTGCTTTCCGTGATGAGTTCAGGCCCCAGGCTCCCTGCTCCTGGGAGTGCTGGCTCTCCCACCTCAATCTGCCACTGGCCCAAGGCTCCCAGGGCACTCTTCACACGCCACTTCCTCACTGAGGAGAGAAGGAAGCAGTGGGATTACAGGGAGGAAAGGTGTTCTGCTCTCTTCTACTGAATCACTGACATCACTTTAGGTACAGAACAGGATAAAAGTGGGAGTGACAGGCCTTCACACTAACTTTTATCCATCAGAGCAGGGACCTCATGACCCCTGAAATCTCAGGAGAGCATTTCAATATTAGACAATTTGTAAAGCACAGATCAGGGTGCCCAGACAAAAAGAATTAAAACAAAGCTGTGAAAGGCGCCAAGTGGAGTTCAGAAACCCCCAGGTATGACTTCAATCACAAGGATGATGTGAAGGTTGGGAAAAGGGTGGCTACTAGTAACAGGGAAAATATGGATCCCAAGAAGCATGAGTTGATGTGCATTCTTCCTTCTAAAAATAAGCAAGGAAGAATGAATTAAGAGTGTGAAAGCTGATAGGCATGACTTGGAAAGTCCAAATTGAGAAGTTTACTCATTTCAGGTGTACCTGGCTTAAAACAACAGCCCCACAGTTGTTTTTACAGGAAATTTTAGGCACACATCACATTTTAAATGTATTATTTATAAAAGATGTAACATAAATTTCTTATAGAGTGGAATCATCCTTTTATAATGCAAATAATCATTTCTATTTTACAGCCCAGATGTTTGCATAAGATTTTTTCTTCCAGTAAGGCCCACACTTGTATGGAAATTTTAAGTGAAAAGTCCAGTTCAGTAGACACTGAGAGCCCCACTGGGACGCTCAGGGACCCCACTCAGCCCTGTCACAGCCGACCGCTGTCAGCACGTCCGTGGCCCAAGGGGGCTTTCCCAAGCGCGACCGCTTGGCTCCTTCCCTCCCTGAGGCAATGGGGGTCTTCCAGGTGGCAGCTCGGGCGCTGCTCCAGGCCAGCAGCCTTCCTGGAGCTGCCGTGAGGAGCCAGACAACTCAGAAAGTACCCGGTGGCCTGTGGTGGTTGGTCCTTTTCTGGGCCGGGGGCGGGGGGAGTGCGATTCTCAGGATGGGTTTCTTCTAAGTAGCTGTGCCAAACCCCAAACACCCTCCCTGCTCTAAGCAAGGCACACAAGCTGAACACAAAAGTATGCTGTAAAATGAGGATTTTCCCTTGAATATGTGCTTTTATAAGGTCTGTTGCATTCTGCAGTGTGATTTTATTACGTCTCAGGGCCAAAAACTCTCCCTAGAAACACATTTCCAAGTTTATAATGAAAATTAATAAGGAAGAGTAAAACTTGGAAATATGCTTTATAGGCAACTTTTTTTTTTCTCACAAATACCTCTCTTTTAAGTGAATGGACTGTTGACTAGGAGTACATCCAAATCTACTCATGTAATACCTTGCTCAACTAGGAAGCCAGTCTTCTGGGTTGCAGCCTTCACAGTTACAAACTCAGAAGTGACAAACGCCTCTTAGCTGTGACTTACTGTGACAGACCCATGTATCTCACTCTATACTGTAGAAAAGATCACTCCTAGATTCTTACTCGGACATGTATAAAATGCTATGTGTAGAATAAGGCAGGAAATTAATTTTTTCCCAGGCATACTGACAACAGCATGATGGGATAGCTCACACTGAGTGCAGGGTCAGAACTAAAAAGCATGTGGGGCCACTTGGTGGGAGGGCAAACAAGCATCCTTAGACTGATGGGATCATGATCTAAGAACAGTCAAAACAGCTTAAAGGCGGAGGTTCTTTTAGAAAGCGTCTAGTCCAATGCTTCTATCTTTCAAATGAGAAATAGCATTCTTCCCAGCCTGCTCTCCTTCAACCCCTGCTACCACTCTCCAAGGAAGAGTATAAAGAATTACCAAGGCGCAGAAAGAGACACTCACTTGCAAAACCCACAGGTAAAATTCAGGTCTCCTAACTCCAAGACCAGAATTTCAATCATTAGTAAAAGGCTAACTTGTATTCTATAAATATTTAACTGTGCTGTGCCAAGTCTCTTCACTTGTGTCCAACTCTTTGCGACCCTGTAGCCTGCCAGGCTCTTCTATCCATGGGGATTCTCCAGGCAAGAATACTGGAGTGGGTTGCAATGCCTTCCTCAAAAATATTCAATAGCATATATGATATTTTTTAAGTTTTTTTTAAAGCTCTATTTCTTTTTAAAATTTTAGCATTTAAAGGAAAAGCTTCAACTATTTGAAAATTTAATTTCTGAAAAACACTTAATTATTTGAGGCTGGACAAGTGAGGGGTCCGGTGATCACGAGCCTTGTTAAATCATGTGTCCTGAAGCACAGTGCCAGTGTGGCCAGGAAAGGCAATTCCGATCTACTCTTTTATCTATGGAATAACTGGGTTTGGAACAGAAATGTTCCCCAAAAGGACCCTAAGGAGATGGAAGGTTAGCTACTGGTTTCCTTACTGCTGGCCTTAAAAGCCACTCAGGTCACAGAAACTTGGACCCTTGGCTGTTTCACTGTTTTTGACACTTTGAGGTTAAATTCTCTGTTAGAATACGAAGAAGGTCTCTGTACTAATTCCCGTGTTGAGATAAGATCCAATAAATGATTTTTGGTGAAGTCCTTATTATTTCTCCCATGGATGTGGGCATGGATGCACACATGCAAATACATGCTTCGTCTTGTCTTTCTTGTCCTGTCTTTGTTCCTGAACTCAAGGACAGCTCCTGCGGCAACAGAAGACTGTTTCCACCTGCTGTCACTCTGATTTGATTATATGTTAAACCCAAACTGGTGTGTGCAAGGCAGCTCCCTGGGACGCTGTCATATCTTCCTGGCTGAGCCAGGGCCAGTCCTTGGAAAGGAGACTTTCAATGACCCTGTAAAGGGTCTGATTGGGAATATTTGAAGGAGGCAGCGCCTGGGGCCTTTTTCCTAAGTCAGCAGGAAGCAGGCTGATGTCCCTGACTGCTGAAAGGAGGCCCCATCTTTCAGGTGGGCTGGAAAGTAGAGGTCCTAAAGGCCTCCTTCCCCAGAGCTCCCAGCCCTGGCCCACTTCCAATGTGGATAATTACATTCCCCTTTCCTAAATACTCCCTGCAGCTTAAACTGGATGCAGGATTCTTCTTTTCTGCCCTAAAACACTGCAACATTGCTATGTGGCTATTAAACAGCTGCCACGTCCCATCCCTGAGGAGGCTGAAGGGAATCGAGTGGGTCATTTATAAAGCCGGTGAAGTGCTTGGGGATGAAAGTGCTCAATATCCTCCAAATGCAGCCTGGGGTGGTTAGGCTGGCGGTCAAATACCACAGCAGATTAAGCCGGTAATCCGAATGTAATCGCTGGGGGATGGCCTGCCCTTCAGCCTCGGCCCCCCTGGACATGCTGTGTTCTTCTAGGGTTGGTTTGATGTTCCGATCATTGTTATGGGGCCCTTCAGTTTTTTTTCTCTATGAATACACATACAGCATTCATTGTGGGGGGGGTGGGAATGAATAGCACTGAGCGGGCAGGAAAAAAAAATATGACACTACTATGCTTATTAACACCAACTGGAAGGGCTCTGACCCAGACAGATGCACTATTGGTAATTCTCTCTATAAATTACTTTCTGGGTTTTTCAGACAGAAAACCAGTTTGGCCAATTATCCAATTTGTATAATTAGCTGGAAAAAAATAAAAAATGGAAACCATTCCCATTTACAGCCACAAAAACCCTGTCCATATTTTGCTTCAACGAATGCACAAGTGAAAGTCAGTTCAGGCCCTGGGATTATTTATGCTTAAAAATTAAAAACAAACAGTATTTTGCAAGCTGGCAGGCGTGGGGTGGGGTGGTTGGAGATGAATAAGAAAAGGGTCAGCTGTTCAAGGGGCCCAGTGGTTTGAGTGGAGTGTTCCTCACTGCCCAATCTCTGTCCTGCTCCCACTAGTCTCTACTTGGGTCATTCTGAGGAGAACAAAATTTAGTTAAAAAAACAAAACAGGATTAAATACTCTCAACTCCCAACAGTATGTTGTTGTGGATTAAAAGCATGGGCTCTTCATCAGACAGACCTAGGCTTAGACCCAAGCCCTGTAACTAACCAGCTATGTGATTCTGAGCAAGGTGCTTAACCTCTTGAAACCTGCAATTTTCCTGACTGTAAAAAGAATATAGCAGTACCTACCTACCACACAGGGCTGTAAGGAGGATGACTGGTGTAAAGCACTTGGCATGGCGCCCAATAAAAGTTACAGTATTACTATCCTTAGGTAGACTTATTCAAACAACATTCTCCTATGAACCTCTATTTTTGCTTTTAAGAAAAAGGAGTTGGGAGGCCACTGTCTATTCTTGACCATGAAGGAATGTGATAGGTTCACATGGGATGTTACCAATGAAGTAACCTGGGCTTGTTCTTCATTTCAAGTTTGTGTCCAAGCACAACTAAGAGGCCTTGGGTTTTACTTGTTTGTTTTTATAGCCACAGCAGCAACATCTGTATTATTTGCTCTGTGTGGAGAGGAGAGTGCTGCTGGGGGCTCAGAGAAAGGAGCTGTGGCTAGTCCCTGGCCTGGTGATGGCGCTGGTCAGCCCACGTGACCTCTGCTTTCATAAGCTCACCCCCTGTTAGGAATTCCAAGGCTTTCACCCCCTGGGAGTGCTATAAATTACAATGCATTGTAAGGATATTACTACTGTATTGGTTTCCACCAAATCAGTGTCATATGCTAAACACATCAAGATTTTTTAATAGCACCAGACTAAACCAATTGGGACTGGAACCCAAGCAGCTCATAATAAGGAAGGATCAACACTTCACTTTGCGGCTGAGCATGCGCAGGACACACATTTTAAGACTGGAGACGGAGAGAATGCAAACCAGTGTGATCCATGTTGTCGGTTCTAGACATTTATGAGCTGTGAGAAAAAGGGAAAAAGAAATTCCCTCAACAGTACTACCTGTCCATCAGTCCCAGGAAGAAATTAAAGTCAAGAATAATGACAAGAAAATAACCCAGCCCATGATTCCATCATTGGTCTTAGCATTTCAGGTGAAACTTAATAAAGAGACCAACTCCCACTGCTGACAGCCTCAGGCCCTGGGTCAAAGAACCAGCCACCTAGCTTCAGGAAGTCAGTTAATGCTGATATGCATACCTGAGAACAGAGAATGAGCAAATCAAATAATCTTCAGAAATCTGAGCTGGAGCCTCTATTCATGGGCTTATTCTTAGAAGAAAAGGGCTGCAGGAATGAAAGTGATGATGCTGCAAAATGACCATTTCTCCCCCCTCCTCCCTTTAATTCAAACGTTCTCCAAAACGAGGGGTATATTTAACAGAGCTGCCTCTGAGGCAAAGTCAGAAGCTGCTGCCTCTGATTCTTGCTTGTTCCTGATGTGGTTTCAGAAAACAAAACAAAAATTAAGCCAAAATGTGCAGGGAAAGCTGCCTTCACCATGACTTCGCCCACCAGGCTTACTTCCAATTCTACCTTCTCTGTGAAGATTTTCCCAGTGGTTTCTCTACACCCCCAATCACACCTTAGAAGAGTTAACTCTCTCATCTGCCTGGGGGTGGAGTGAGGTTCACTGGTCAAGTGGATGCCCACTGCATCTCTGGTGTCCGGCCCTGACCTTGGGTTATTCTCAGGAACAACTTTGCTTCAAGGGCCTCAGTCTCCCCAAGCTCCCAAAGGTACTGCTGAGCTTCTCCCTGAAGCCTCAGCTAGGCCTGTTTACTTGTGCTCAGGTCACCCCAAGTGTTTCTAAGGGCCCACTGGGGGCCCCTGTCACTTACCAAGTAGTTCATTTGTCTTCTCATCATATTCTTCGGCCATCTCCTTTCCATCTGGGAACAAATAGTGCACCTTTCTTCTCCCTAGGCACAAAGCAGAAGAGGGTCTTACCCCTGAGCAGCCTCTTGCCTTGGGCTTTTTAGACCCAGAGATCCACCTGGGAAACACTAATAGCCATGGGCATATTAAAAATCTTCCCAGAGCCTCCCATGAACTCCTTGACAACCATCACCCACCATTACTTTAAGACATGTCCTGGGACTCATTTGCTTTTCCTGAATATGTCTTTGTTCTGCTGATTATTCTATGAGCAATAGCTCTAAAAAAGTGTTAGTTGCTTAGTCATATCTGATTCTTTGTGATCCCATGGACTATAAGGCTGCCAGGCTCTTCTGTCCTTGAATTCTCCAGGCAAGGATACTGGAGTGGGTAGACATTTCCTTCTCCAGGGGATCTTCCTGAACCAGGGATTGAACCTGGGTCGCCAGCATTGCAGGCAGATTCTTTACTGTCTGAGCCACTCTTCCCAACTGTTGAACTCCTCCTTGCCCTTCAAAATCCAACTGAAATGTCATTTCTCCTGGGAAGTCTTCCTAAAACTATCACTCCTAGCCACCTTGGCAAAATTCATCACTTATTTCTTTATGCCTTCCTGGTGCTTTATTCATATCCACAGTGGAGCATTTATCACATTGTATGATACTTTTAAAAGGATCTGTTTCAAGAATGTTATCATATTTATCTTTCTCTCCCCAGTTCCTAAAACCAAGCCTAGGTGCTCAGATTATTGAACTGGGTTTCCCAACCAATGGCTCCCTCCAACTGTGTCCTCACTCTGCCTTCTTCTGCACATCTCTATGCCATTCCTATCACACAGCACATGACATTAGTGCCCATGTATTTTCCCTATGGCATTTACCTTGGTTATGGTTTTACATCTATCTGTGTGAATTCTGGATGATTACTGCCTGTCTCTTTACTAAGATAAGAGGGATTTTATCCCCTCTATCTATGGTTTCCCAAACACTGAGCACAGTACTTGGCATGTTTTAAGAGCTCAGCTAAATACTGATTGATCGCCCTTTCCAGTGCCCTTTTGAGGCTGACGCAGTGCCTTAAGAGGCTAACACAGGATGGTAAAGGAAGTCTCCATAAAACCCAGAGAAGAGATTTTTAGAACTCCTCTCTGAATCCTATCTGGAGTCACAACTGAACTGGAAGATTTTAAGTCTTTGTATAGTTAATACCAAAGTCATTAAATTTAAACTTGAAAAATAAATAAATAAATAAATACTGATTGAAAGAATGAAAGAACATCACTTCATCTTTCATTGAAAGAAGAGAAGAAATGGATAAGAAGATGTGGTACATAAATACAATGGAATATTAATCATAAAAAGGAATGAAATTGGGTCATTTGTAGAGGCCTAGACAGACCGAGAGTATGTCATACAGAGTGAAATCAGAATTAAGAAAAATAAATACCGCATATTAACACATATATGTGGAATCTGAAAAAATTGATATAGACGGTCTTATTTACAAAGCTGAAATAGAGACACAGACATAGAGAACACACATATGGATACCAAGGGGAAGTGGGGATGAGATGAATCAGGAGATTGGAATTGACATATATAAACTATTGATACTATGTATAAAACAGATAACTGATGAGAATCTATCACACAGCGCAGAGAACTCTGCTCAGTGCTCCGTGGTGACCTAACTGGGGAGGAAATCCAAAAAAGCGGAGGTATGTGTACAGAGACAGCTGAGTCACTGTGCTCTATGCAGAAACTAACACAACACTGTAAAGCAACTAGGCTCCAATAAAAACTTAAAAGAAAACAAATTTAAAACAATTTCATACTAAAACAAAAGTAACATATGTTCAAAGAAAAAAAAAAAGGAAAGAATTCCAGGGCATCTCCAAGACCAACTCTTCCATCTCAGTAGTATAATCCTAAGCATCTTCTTAAACGTGGTTAGATAATTTCCAATTTTTACAGATAGGTAAACAGACAGGTAGGCTCCTCAGTGAGACAGTACCAATGCTCAGCAGACAGGTACCCGGCATATCCCTGATGAATAGAGCCCCAAGGCCCTTAATCAGCTAAAGGAGCCACTAGCCAAAACTTGCAACTGCATCTGATCTACCAAGCCTTTTGCTGTCCATTCACTCCCCGAGACCTTGTTCTTTGAGTCATTCCAAATTTGTACTCTAGGGACACTCACCCCCAAATTTGCGGGCCTCTCCATAGGCCCCCAGGTTACACCACCCTTAATCATGTTTGGCTCGCAGAGCTGGCAGAGGCTGTCCTGTCAGGAGGCAGGTACGAGGTGCTGCCTGTGAGTAGCTGAGGGTGTCTGGCCTGACCCTCTTCTTCCCTGGAGTCTGGTCGTCAGTGCAGCAGGACACAGTGCTTACTGTGGGCCAGGTGCTTCACATATTTTATTGCATTTAATTCTCACAATAATCCTATGTGCCTTCAGTACTTGTCTTTCACCAATAAAGAAAATTGAGGCTTAAAGATCATGTAACTGGTTCAAGGTCATAAAACTAGGAAACGATAGCCTGGGCTTAAACTCACTTGAGGCCAAAGTCGAAGCTCTAATAACCATACTAGGGTATCTGTATGGCTTTAAGGTTATAAGGATGAACAATGTTCTAGGGGTTTATTGTTCATATTTCTAGTGAATTACATGTTTAGGCCTTAGCCTATTTTATTTCAGTATTCATCTTTTTCTTACTAATCTGATTGAGTTTTGTATATAGTAAACATGTCACACATGTTGCAAATATTCTCAGTTTTAATTGCCTTTTTGTTTAAACCAGATTTTCTCAAACAAATGTTTAATTTTTATATAGTCAATTATTTTTCCTTTGTGGTTATTATCCAGAAGTTGTGCTTAGAATATCCTCCCTTACCCAAGATCATAATATTCATCTATACTTTATTCTAATACATATTTAGGGCTTCCCTCATAGCTCAGTCAGTTCTAAAGGTACTCATGTATGTGAATATAAAAAAATTTAAGTATATTACTATGATATTTTGGTGAAAGAAAAAATATGTGTGCGTGAGCTTGTATACATGGAAAAAATATGGATGTTTCTGTATGAAAATGTCAATTGTTATTATCTCCACAGGGGAGGATTATGGGTGACTTGTTTATTTATTTTTCATATTTCCACAGTGAAAATAAATTATTTATGAAAGATACCGCATAGCTCACAAAGAGTTTCTTTAGACCAGTGATTGTCAAACTTTTCTGAATGGGACCTAGGGTAAGAAATAAGATGTAGATCACAATCCAGTATATATGTAATCTATCGTATGTGTGTTTGTGTGTGTCTATGTGTGTTGCATGTATCATATCAAGTATCATAAACACTGACCTCACATACAATGTACTCTTCACTTTTTTCTGGTTTTTTCTAAAAAACTTGTTAACATACTGATGTCCACCTCCTGCAAATAATGGGACTGCCAGGAATAGCAATCATTGAATAAATCAATAATTTGCAACAGAAAAAATAATGATTTATGAAAAAGTGTACTGGGTTCTCATTATCAAGAGAAGTGATTCTTGGTGGGCAGACAGCCACATCCTCTGCCCACTCACATACACATCAGGAGGGCAGATCTCCAGGAGTGGTCTAACAAGGCATATTCACACATTAGGGTTTTTTGTTTTCTTTTTTAGGTTTTGATTAGGGAGAGAAAAAACTAACAATGTTGTTTTGTGATATCACTAACAAAAAAAGTACCAAAATCCTGGTTGATGAAGTATTTATTTGAACACTGTCCTTCGACTAAAGGAAGTGAAAGGCAGGGACTAGAATAGATACTTCTGTCTATGTTCACAGCAGTAGTTCTTTATGGTTAAAAAAGAAAGTGGAAGTAACTCACTTCCTTGAGTAATAAGAATAAAAACAAAAATAAGAATAAAAGCAAAAATAAAAACAAAACAAAAATAAATAAAAACAAAAATAAAAAGACCCAATTAAACTTAAAAGCTTTTGCACAGAAAAGGAAACCATAAACAAGATGAAAAGATAACCCTCCGAATGGGTGGAAATATTAACATTTGCAAATGAAGTGACTGACAAACAATTAATCTCCAAAATATATAAGCAACTCATTCAGCTCAATAGCAAAAAAACAACCCAATCAAAAAACGGGTGGAACCCCTGAATAGACATTTATCCAAAGAAGGCACATAGATGGCCAACACACACATAAAAAGATACTCAACATCACTAAGAGAGATGCAAATCAAAGTTACAATAAGATATCACCTCACACCAGTCATAATGGCCATCATCAAACAATAAATGCTGGAGGGAGCAGAGAAAAGGGAACCCTCATGCACTGTTGGCGGGAATGTAAACTGATACAGTCACTAAGGAGAACAGTATGGAGGTTCCTTAAAAAACTAAAAACGTAACTACCATATGACCCAGCAATCCCATTTCTGGGCACATACCCGGAAAAACCTGTAATTCAAAAAGACACATGTACTCCAATGTTCATTGCAGCACTGTTTACATTGCAGCCAGGACACGGAAGCAACCTAAATGTCCATCAACAGAGGAATGGGGTAAAGATGTGGCACAGGGGCATCACTGGTGGTCCAGTGATTAAGAATCTGCCTGCCAATGCAGGGGACATGAGTTTGATCCCTGACCTGGGAAGATTCCACACTGTCACAAAGCAACTAAGCTCCTGTGCCACAACTAATGAAGCCTGAGGGCGCTAGAGCCTGTGCTCCACAACAGAACCTATGGCAACAAGAAGCCTGTGCACCGTAACTACAGAGCAGCCCACAGTCGTCATAACTATCAACAGAGAAATCCCACGTGCAGTAGCAAAGACCCAGCACAGTCCAAAAGAAGTAGTTTCAAAAGTTTAAAAAAAAAAAACAAACAGATGTGGTACATATATACATTGGAATATTAACCACAAAAAGGAACACAACTGGGTCATTTACAGAGATGTGGATGGAGCTAGAGACTGTCATACAGAGTGGTTAGAAAGAAAAAAATACGTATATTAATGCATATATGTGGAATATCGAAAAATGGTATAGATGATCTTATTTGCAAAGCAGGGCTTCCCACGCAAATCAATGGTAAAGAATCCGCCTGCTAACACAGAAGACACCAGTTCAATCCTTGGGTTTGGAAGATCCCTTGGAGGAGAAAATGGCAACCTACTCCAGCATTCTGGCCTGAAAAATTCCATGGACAGAGGAGCTTGGTGGGCTACAGTCCATGGTCTTCCAAAGAGTCGGACACGACTGAGCAACTAAGCATACACACACGCATTTGCAAAGCAGAAGTAGAGACACAGACACAGAGAACAAATGTATGGCTATCAAGGGGGGACTGGGGAGGAATTGGGAGGTTAGAATTGACATATATATATATATATTACTGATACTATGCAAGAATAGATAACTAATGAAAACCTATTGTATAGCACAGAGAACTCTACAGAATGCTCTGTGGTGACCTAAATGGGAAGGAAATCCAAAAACGAGGGAATATATGTACAGCTGAGTTCACTTTGCTGTACATCAGACACAAATTCAACATTGTGAAGCACAAAATTAAATTAATAATTAAATAATTAAATTAATAAAATTAATTTTTCAAAAAGTGGAAGCAACTCAAGTGTCCATTGACACACCAGTGGACAAACAAAATGTGGTATATTCATACATACAATGGAAGAATGCTATTCAGCTTTAAAAAGGGAGGAAATAAAAATTTCCTCATGCAACAAACGACATTTCCTCATTTCCACATGCAACATGTTTGCACTTTGAAGATATTATGCTATGCTTAATGCTGTAACCAAACTCATGAAGATAGAAAGTAGAATGGTGATTGCCAGGGCCCGAAGATAAGGAGACTGAGGAATAGTGTTTAATGGGTACAGAGTTTCAGCTGAGGAGTTAGTAGTTAACAGGTATGGAGTTTCAGCTGAAGATGAACGTTTTGGAGATGTTTAGTGGCAGTGGGGGCACAACCATGTGAATATACTTAATGCCACAAAACTACACTTAAAAAAGGCTAAAATGGTAAATATATGTTATGTACTTCTTACAATAAAAACAAATCCCACCGTCCTATGAGATAATGTTCAAAATCTTTACTTTGGCAAAGGAGATCTATCACAACTCCAACTTCTCTGCAATTTCTCTTCATGTTCTACCATTTCCCCTTAACACTCCTTGAGAAAAGGGACCTTTTATTCACTCTTGCATCCTAGCACCCAGTACCTGACAAAGTGTAGATAGATATTAGGACTGACTGGGTAAAGGCTTCAGCCTCACTAAATGTTTTGCTATGCCCCTAGAAATCATCCACACACTTTCACACCTCTGCGTCTTCACATGTGAGTTACTCTTGGTGGAATAACTATCCCCTCTTCTCCACTTAGCAAACACCTATTTATCTTTTAGGGCCCATGAACATCACCTGTTCTGTCAGATCTTCCTGACAGAACCATTTTCACCTCTGAGCTCTCATGGCATTTTATAGAAAAGTCCAACTTCTACTTAACACATACACTCTCATTTACCTTTTTTTCTTGACCACTATGGGAACTCCTGAGATATGTCTTTTTCTATTTGCTCTAGCACACAACTTGACACATAGTAAAAGCATCCCTGAATGCTGCCTGAATAAATGAGCAAATGACCAGCTGATTTCACTTTCCAAGCTTTCTTGACTGGCCTCTACCTGTGTATTTCAGTCCCTACCAGTTTCCTGAAAGCTACAAGGAATTCAAACCGAATTCATTCTGGCTGCCAAGTGGGTCCAGGAAGGGACCGTCAAGCATTGGTCAATCCTAGAGTGGAAGAAAGTCAGAACTCCATACCCCTGTGTCCACCTCTTCCAGAACCAGCAGGAATGGGGGAAGTGGCGGGGGTGGGGTGGGGCAGGAAGTGTTGCTTTGTCTCCTTTAAAGACCCAAGGAACACTTAGAAACTCACTTACAAACATAACAAGTCCAAAGGACCTCAGAGATAATCCATTCACCTCATTTTACAGATGAGAAAAGTGAAGTTCAAACGAGTAAAGAGGCCGACTGGGGAGCCCCGGTAAATTAAAGGCAGAGTCTTAAATACAGCGCAGGTGTCCTGAGTCTCTATGACACCAGGCAGCTTTCAGCAATAGAATCTCCAGACTGGGGTTCATGGGATCCCAGGTCAAGATCCACTTCTACCACTGACTGACTGGGGGAGCTGCAGCCGACCTAAAAATCTTGGATTTCAGTTTCCTCTTCTGTAAAACAGAGTGGAAAACAGCCTCTCGGGACTGCGGGGAAGAGCAAATGACATAGTGAACATGAAAAGATTTATTAGTAACAGAACGCAGAGCGGAGCGAGGTGGTGTGGAGGAAAGTAGGGGTGTTCAGAGAAGGGTGTTCCAGTCGCCTCATCTATATGTGCCTCAGTTTCTTCATCTGCAAACGCAGAACTTGCCCTGGCGGGAGGCTGCGACCTTCCAGCCTCACCCTTCGGGCTGGGCCCGTCCAGGGGGCGCCAGCGCGGAGGGCTGGACCCTGGGGGAAAGGAACAAGGTGCTCGCGCCGGGGGGCAGGGTGGGGGTGCTCGAGTTACCGTCTTGCAGCAGTGCAGTCTTCTCTGCCGCCCGCAGATTCTCCAGCCAGCCGGTCACCGCCATCTTCCCTCCAACGAGCCGCGTGCCTGGCCACTGCCATGGCAACCGTCCCGCCTAGGGTCACTTCCGGATGGCCCGGAAGATGTTCTGGGCTTTGGCCTGTTCCCACCCCGCGAACCCCGGGCCCTCCGTCTGCTCTCATTGGCTGCTCAGGTAAGTAGTTTATTCCTGTCCACCCCCGGTGACCAGTCGGGGCCGAAGTTGACCCCATTCTCTACCGAATCTGGGGAATGAGGAGGAATCATCAGGACAGAATCCGGACAGTCCAGCGCTCCCCTAGCCCCACCCCGGGAGTCCTTGGCGCGCGGCAGCTGCGGTACGCGGCGGGTGCCTCACACCTGCCAGCGTCTTCTCCACCCCAAGTTGTGAGGCCAAGACTCCCCAGTCCCGGAAGGCGTCCGACACCTGCTGCAGTCGTGCGTCTCCCCGCAGCTGCGGGCCTGCGCGTCCCGGTGCCGAGAGGGCCAAGACCAGAGCAGGTGCAGGGCGTTCCCCACCCCGGCTCCCTAAACTCCACCAGCCACCCCCACCCTCCCCGTTTTCCTCTGCGGGCCTGTGATGGGGGTAGAGAAGGATATGCAAGTTCCCCCTCGCCCCCACCACCAATCCCCACTCCTTTTGGAAGCCCAAGTCCTTCCTAAAGATGGAGTCCATTCCTAGCCTAGCATCCCGTTTTCGTAAAGCCTTTTGAAGTGGGATGCAGCAGGAGCAGATACTGCACAGTTAATCTTCAAAGCAGCCCCCTGAGGAATGATATGCTTTGAAAGTGAAAGTGTTAGTCGCTGAGTCCTGACTGACTCCTTGCAACCCCATGGACTGTAGCCCACCAGGCTCTTCTGTCCATGCAATTATCAGGGCAAGAAGTAGATAGCCATTACCTTCTCCTGGGGATCTTCCAGACCCGAGGATCAAACTCCTGTCTCCTGCATTGCAGGTGGATTCTTTATCATCTGAGCCACCAGGGAAGCCCATGATGTCATTTATTCCCTCTTCAAAAGTTCCCTGGATATTTCCACTCTTCTTATTTTCCCCAGTATTCTGAAAGACTGGTGATTGTGCATGCTAAGTCACTTCAGTAGTGTCTGACTCTTTGTGGCCCTATGGACTGTAGCCCACCAGGCTCCTTTGTCCATGTGTAGAGCTAGGCTAAGCCAAGTTTAGTTGGGTTTTGTGAGACTCCTGGGAACTTGGCTACTGTCCCCAAAGTATTGTCAGTAGACACCCCACCTTCATAGAGGGGTTGGGGAGCCCCAGGTCTGGGTTGCACATGACAACTGCCCTGATCAACCCTCCAACAGAAAGGTTAGGATCCAGCCATACCTCAATGGAGCCCAGGGGCATCTTGAAGGCATTTCCCAAGCGGAAGAAAGTTCACACCAACCCATCATCAAAAGCTCTTGCAAAGATTCCTAAGACGGAAGACAGAGTAGAAGCAGGAGGTGAGTGGACCCACCCTCAAGACCCTCATGTGCTTGAGCCTCAGGCTTCTTACATCTTTCATGCCCAGAATCAGATATTACAGCTGACTCTGCCCACCCAGAGCCTGCGGCTATGTTTGTACCTCCCTTGTCCTAAACTTGATCCCCAGTCTTTGACAGGTGACTTTCTGTTTCATCTTCTACCACATGCCGGAAAATACTCCCTGGTCCCTAAGGAAATGACCGATAGGATCTTTTCCTCTAGGAAGCTGCCTACTGGTGAGGGGAGGGGATCCTTCTCAGGTCCCCAGAGTTATGCTATTTTGCAGCCAAAGTGACAAATAGATGGCAAAAACTTACATGGTAGGCTGGGTTGGGACAGGGGAATCTATTAGACTGTGAGGCCTGTAGTAGCAAAGCATGTGCCTTGTGCCTGATACATAATAAGTGTCTATTACTATGTGTTGAAAGAATAAATGATCAAATGAAGTGATTTATAGGCTCCCTGCAATGTGCCAGACACAGTTCTAGGTTACATCAGGGAACAGGACGTATCAGTGTCTTTGCCTGTTACATCAGGCGATGGCCCATGAGGAAATTAACTGTATACTTGTGGTGGAATCCCCAGAAGGCAGGGTGGAGGAAAATGACTGGGGGAAGGGGACTGTGAAGGGTTCATTCGGATCATGTCTGAGAGTATGACAGCAGGCGTCTGGATGCCCCCTCCACAGAGTGGCTGAGCTCCGTGCGGGTGCACGTTGTGCCCACCGGCATTGGGAGAGCCCGGGCAGAACTCTTTGAGAAGCAGATTGTCCAGCATGGTGGCCAGATATGCCCTGCTCAGGCCCCAGGGGTCACTCACATTGTGGTGGATGAAGGCATGGACTGTGAGCGAGCCCTCCGCCTCCTTAGACTGCCCCAGCTGCCCCCAGGTGCTCAGCTGGTGAAGTCAGCCTGGCTGAGCTTGTGCCTGCAGGAGAGAAGGCTGGTGGACACAGCAGGATTCGGCATCTTCACCCCCAAGAGGTGGGCTGGTCCTAGTCTATCCTCAAATGTTTTCTTGAGCTATTAAACTCTCATTGTCTTAATTAGACACATTAAAAAAACAAAGATTTCAGATTCTAGAAGGACTGGGAACAGATATGGGGTGAGACTTTGGTGTCTTAACCTGCCATCACCATCCTGCAGGTACCTGGATGAAGCACAGCTCAGCAAGGCAGACCAACTCTCTTTTACACCTCCTGGAGCCGGTGAGGCTCAGCCCAGGACAGCCCTGTCTCCTTCCCGACCTCCCACCAGACCTATATCTCCTGCCTGGAGGGCAGAGGCAGTTGCAAGCATCCAAGCCCAGGTCAGGAGCCTCCCAGTCCCCACAGCTCCCTTCTCCTGGGAACCAGATCACAGAAACAGGGAGAGCCTGGTGTTCAGAAAGTCTCAGGCCCCTGAGAGAGGAGGGCTGTCTTTCTTGAGAAGTCTTTTAATTCTACCCAGCATTCATCACTCCTGTATTTGCCTATCTACCACATTTCACTGGGGATCCTAGGGCTGGGCACTAGGGGAGGCCAGGTGGAACACCGCCCCACACTTAAGAAGATCCAGGTCTGTTGCATAAAACCCAGCATCATACTTGGGTCTGACTAGTAAACTCAGCCCCCACCTCGAAGGAGCCCTCCTCATGGGGGGCATGAACTTACTGTCTCTTCTCCTTCCCTATCTCAAGACCAGCTCTGATGGTGAAACCAGTGATGGGGAAGAGACCCAAGTTAGCGGTGCTGATCTGGAAGCCCTGATCAGCGGCCGCTACCCCAACCCCTTTGAGGGAGATGGTGAGCCTAGCCCAGCCCCCAAGGGCCTGGATAAGTGGGTCTGTGCACAGCCTTCGAGCCAGAAGGCAATCAACCACAACCCCCATATCACAGAGAAGCTGGAAGTATTGGCCAAAGCCTACAGTGTTCAGGGAGACAAGTGGAGGGCCCTGGGCTATGCCAAGGCCATCAATGCCCTGAAGAGCTTCCACAAGCCTGTCACCTCCTACCAGGTACCTGGGGGCTAGGGAAGGACATGTGGGGGGCTGGGTGGGGGTCTTCTGTAGTGGGGGTCAGGTAGAGGGCTTAACATTTTCTGATGTCTGGGACTTTCACAAAAGAAAAAAACAGGTAGATTAATGAAAACAGCTTGGCAAAAATCTTGATAATTATAAAAGCTGGGTGTTGGGTCTGTGGGATCCAGTATACTGTTTTACTTTCGAGTTTTTCCATAATAAAAAGAGTTGCTTAAAAGTTTAGTCTCTGAAGATCAACAGGCCAGAGTTTGAATTCTGGTTCTCATTATTCACTAACTGTCTGACTTTCAGCCAGTCATTCAAATCCTCTGAGCATCAGCCTCCTCACGAGTAAAAAGTGACTAAGCACACTAGCAAACACAGTGCTCCCGTGAGGACTCAAAGAGATGACCCATGTAGTGCAGGACCCGATACAGGTTAAAGCCTCACTCTGGCTCACCTGCTGTGGTGGTAATGCTGCCTAGTGTCATCACTGCTGCCTGTGCTGAGTTCCATCCCTCTGGGAACCAGCAGACAAGTTACCCAGCCCACTCCATCCAGACTTCTCATCTTCAGCTGTGCCCAAGCTTTACACAGCTATCAGTTGCCCACCAACCAGACTGGCTTTTACTCAAGACGTCTGCTAAAGGAGTCAGTTTCCCCACTGCTGACTCTCTTCCTCCCATCTTCTCACCTTTCCTTCCTTCTTACCTTTCCTTCCTGCCTCTGCCTTCTCTTCCTCTAGGAGGCCTTTGGCATACCTGGGATTGGAAAGCGGATGGCTGAGAAGATTGTCGAGATCCTGGAGAGTGGGCATCTGCGGAAGCTGGACCACATCAATGAAAGCGTGCCTGTCTTAGAGCTCTTCTCCAACATCTGGGGAGCTGGAACCAAGACTGCCCAGATGTGGTACCATCAGGTCACACCCTGTCCTAGCCCCTACTTCAGTTTTACGGTATCTTAGAGCTCCTGTCCCACAGTTCTCTCGCCCTATGCTTTGATGAGAATGAACCCAGACTAGAGAGGGATCACTTCTCAAAGGGACCAGAGCCCATGCAGATCCCTCTCGGCTCTCAGAACTACCCTGTTTGATATCCTTGAGGCTTAGTCTGTGGCATAGGCAGAGACAAGAAGTATATTTCTCTGTCCCCCAGACAAACAAGGGTCTTGTTGAGCAGACCAGACCTAGGGGCTGAGAATCCACAACAGTGGTTCCCAAACCCAGCAATGCCCAGAATCACCCCTAGATTGATGAGATGAAGAATGAGTGTTTTAGGATTGGGGCAGGGCTGGATTGAAGTGTGTCTTCCATGCCCCCTGCCTTTCCCAGGTCCCACTGATTATAGACCCTGGGCTTGCTTCATGCCTCATGCTTGCCTTGGAGGCAGGCATGCCTCATGCCCTTGCCTCATGCTTTCCTTGGAGTCTAAGGATGATGAAAACCTTGTGTGTCTGCTTATTCACTCTCTCTTCGTTGGTTCTGGATCCTCACAGCCTTCCCATCTGGCTTCTTTTTTTCAGGGTTTCCGGAGCTTAGAAGACATCCAAAACCAGGCCTGTCTGACTACCCAGCAGGCCATTGGCCTGAAGCATTATGATGACTTCCTAGACCGCATGCCCAGGGAGGAGGCTGCAGAGATTGAGCAGACAGTAAGCAGATGTCTCAGGGCAGTGAGGAGAGCCACTGCTGTAGGGTCAGAGCCTGGCTCAAAGCCAGGAACTCCTGATCCCTCGGGGCGGGGGGGAGCCCAGCAGGCAAAGGAAAGCTGCAGGCCACCAGAGATTGGAACTAGTGGGCAAAGAGCAAGTTGGCTTAGGTAGGGAAGGGCTGCAGCACTAGCTCTCTGGGGTAGGGGTCTCAGTATCAAGCAGAGTTAACCCTGGCTTAGATGCTAGGATGGTGTTAGGGCTGGATTAACGTCAGGGCTTCATCAGAGTTGGATTATGGTCAGAACTACTTGAAGATATTGGGATTTCAGCTGAGCTAGGGTAGGGTGGATCAGGGCAGAGGTTCTTAACATTTTTTGACTCACAAACTTCTTTCAGAACCTAATGAAAATCATGGACTCTCTTCTCTCCACAATCTGTAAAAATGCACAACGTTGTATATCTCTTTTCAGAAATACGTACCTTCTGCAGCCCTCCAAAGGCTGGTTCAGGGTTTGGGTTAGAATTGGTGTAAAAGCACAATGCCAGTAGGATTCGGTTTGGGGTTAGAGGAAAGCTAGATCTAGAGTCAAGTTAAGGTTAGACCTGAATTAGTAGACTTTTCTTAGTGTTGGATGCTTTTAGTTAAAATTTATGATTGTCCTAGGAATAAGGTTGGCCAACATTCGGGTTTGGTTTAGAGTTGGGTTAGGGGTTAAATTCATGTAAAACCTAGATTAGAGGGAGAGTAGGGTACATTTAGAGTGAGATGTATCATTTGTTCAGCTGGCATTAAGGTTAGGGGCTGGTTTGCTCACTATGGCCTATGATTCTGATACGGCAGAACTCCCTGGAGACTGGCCCAGCTTAGTTGAAATCACCCTCCAGCTCTTCTCCCAGTCACATGACTGTGAGGCTGGTATGGGATGGACAGGCAAGCCCCTTTGTCCACCCATCACTGGGCCTTAGTGCCAGTGATGACCTGTCACTCAGCCACGGTATCTGGGCACAGAGAATGCCCCAGCGAGCCTCCAGCCCCAACCCACTGGAACAGAAGTGGCTCCCCACTGGAACAGAAGGGCCCATTCTCCCCATTTAACGTCTCCAGCTTTAGGAGGTTTTAATGGGATTATTCATCCTAGGCCTCCTCCCACCCTCTCAAGAAGGGGGTTGAGGGGATTAGCAAAGCCTGCCTGTCAGGAGAATTGAGGTATCCAGGGTCCCAGAAATCTCAGTGTCCTGGGGTGGAGACTGGGAAGCTATCCGCATATGAAAGGCCTCAGTGTTTCTGGGGTGGAGTCAGTCCCCCCGACTCAGTACACCATGATCCCCCTGTCTCAGCTCACTCTGCACCGAGCCCCATTCCTCCAAGTAAGGATGTGGCCATTGGCTCAGATTTCCCTCCCTCTTTGCACTCTCCTTTCCTTCCCTATACATGCAATTATATTTCTGGGCTCTATCTCCCCAGAGGACTGGACCAGGGGCACCCTGCCAACCACCTATCAGACTTTCAGGCCCCAACTCACACACTGATTTAGCTCTGAATCCAAAGATACCTGGGGCTGCTGAGACCTGGCTGAGGGCTCCTTGGCACTTGGCCCTCTGTACTCAGTGGAGCTTCACACACCTGGGTGTATGGGTTGGGGCAGACCCCAGAGAACGTATGTCTGTCTGCTCTTGAAGACTCTCGAGGGAAAGAGCCACACCTTCCCTCAGAATCCAAGCTCGGTCTTTCTCATCCCTCTCCCCGGGCCACATCCAGTGGTGTGAGCACGTTTTATTCTCTTCTGTCCCAGCAAAGCTAGAAAACTGCTCCCTAGGGTGGATGGAACTCCTCTTCTGTTCCTTGAGGCTCTCTCCCTCAAGCTGGACCATGCATCCAGGGATTGGCTTGGAACCCAAGGGGTGTGTGGGCTCCTGGGACAGGGAAGGCCCACAGCCCTCACCCTCCTCACTGTCCTCTCCCAGGTCCGGGAAGCAGCTCAGGCCTTCAACCCCGGGCTGCTGTGCGTGGCATGTGGTTCATACCGACGGGGAAAGGCAACCTGTGGTGATGTGGACGTGCTGCTCACCCACCCGGATGGCCGCTCTCACCAGGGCATCTTCAGCTGCCTCTTGGACAGCCTCCGGCAGCAAGGTATAAGCCCCACCCCCGGGTGAGCAGGTGGGCAGGGGCAAGGTGGCCCCCAGGCCGGAGAGCCTCAAAGTTCCCATCTCTAGGCAGGATGCAATGGAGGCTGCTCCATGAGAACTCCACCTCTCCCCTGGGGTCAGAGCCACTGCAGGGAAGAGATGAATCAGCTCCTCACACCTCCCAGAGGTGCTGCAGGTCAAGGGCTCATCTGATCTTTCCATGCCCCCGGTATAGGGGGGCGACATGGGGAGAAGGACTATGCATATTCTATAGAAAAGGACACAGGCCTGAAGAAAGCCTGAAAATAAATGGACAAGCCAGGGACAGAGGACCCAGGGATAATCAGGAGAGGCCTGGGAGGTCAGACGGCCCTGGGCTGGGTAGCCCAGGCCCTGGCTTCCTGCCCTCCCAGCAGCCCTCCTGTGTTGGGCCAGGGTTCCTGACGGATGACCTGGTGAGCCACGAGGAGAATGGCCAGCAGCAGAAGTACCTGGGTGTGTGCCAGCTCCCGGGGCCAGGGCGGCGGCACCGACGACTGGACATCATCGTCGTTCCCTACAGCGAGTTCGCTTGTGCCCTGCTCTACTTCACCGGCTCTGCCCACTTCAACCGCTCCATGCGGGCTCTGGCCAAGACCAAGGGCATGAGCTTGTCAGAGCATGCCCTCAGCACAGCTGTGGTCCGCAATGCCCAAGGCCACAAGGTGGGCTCTGGCCAAGTGCTGCCCACCCCCACTGAGAAGGATGTGTTCAGGATCTTAGGCCTGCCCTACCGAGAACCCGCTGAGCGGGACTGGTGACCCGGCTGCCCCTCCTGGCCATTCAGCCAGCCTCAGCGGGCTGAACCTCACTGCGTCAACCACTGGCTCCTCTGGGCTTGATGGGAAGAGTCAGCCTGACTCCCAGGGCTGCCTGGCCCTCTCTGCAGCAGGGTCAGGTGTTACCCTGTCTACCTCACCATTGCCCCTGAAGAATTGTGCACATGGCCCCCTGCCCCATTTTAGGCAGGAACTGGTACCTGGATTGGGGCCAGCTTCCTGCTTTGGAGGCCCAGGCATCCCCACTTCTCTACCCCAAGGAGGGTCTAGCTGCTGGGGGTGGGATGGGGGCTGCAGGGGAGAGGCATATTGCTTTGGTCCAGCATCACCCAAGACCCTTCAGAGCAAACGAGCCGCTCCAGAAGTGCTTCCTCCACCTACCTCCCTTGCAGTGCAGCTATAAGTGTGGGGAGTGGGCACCCCAGGATCAATGAGGACAGTGTTTGAAGGCCCAGGGGCCCGATAAAGTGCACTTAACATTCAGCCTGTCTGGTGTGTCTGTGAGCTGCTGCAGCCTCTGCCTGCCTTTCTCCCGGGTAGGGACAGAGATAGGAGGTGAATGGGAACCTGAGCAAGTTAACAGTTCTCCAAATGGGCCAGGCCTGAGTCAGCTCCTGAACAACCCAGAAAGGAGTAGAGGTGGACATTAAGAGGGAGGATTGGTGGAGCTGGGAATTAGAACTGCCTGTCTACCCATCAGCATGTCCTGTGGGCCCTGTCCTAGAATAGGCAATACCTAAGGATATGAACAAATGTAAGATGGCTCATTGAAAGTGAAAGTGAAAAGTTTCAAATGTAACAAGGCGTATTAGGAACAACTTAAAAAAAAAAAAAAGGAACAACTAAATGATGACCTGTGTGCCACTGACAGGGCTGGGACAGTCAGGGAAGGCTGTGCTGCCTGGAGGAGCCAAGGGGCAACTTGGAGGAAATAGCCTATTTGAGAAGGGTAAACCATTCTCTGGGTACAACTAAGGAATCTGCTTTAGAGAGGATGCTGAGTGCCGGGCGGGAGTCAGAAGGCCAGGCTGGTAGAGGACTGAAAGTTGAGCTGAGGGGCTTAGTTTGAGCAGCTTGGAGAGGCCAGCTGGTGTTACCAAGGTGGTTTTGGAGGCTGGAGCTTACAGGACAGGAACGATTTGGTGAGGGGAGTGGTGGGGTGGGAAGGTTTGGCATACCAAATATAAAACCGGGCTCAGAGGCAGGAGAAGGTGGCTGTGAGGATCCTGGGCCTCAGAATTGGGATCCACCGGAGTGTGCTGGCTGTGTGGCAGGGACGGGGCGGGCCCTGAGTCCTGCATCTGTCTAATTGCAAACTCCCAGAGCTGGCCTTTATTGGCTTGGTCTCAGTCAGGGGAATCCCAGCAAGCTTAGAATGGGCCCAACTCTTGCTCAGAGCCCCTGAAGTCCCAGCCACGGGGCCTTGCCTGTATGGGTCATGTCAGGGAAGGAATCAAATGCCATGGAGGCTGGTGGGCCCCTTTCACAGCTCGTACCAACCAGAGAAGCCACCTCAGAGGACTAGAAGCCTTCATAAGGGTGACTTCCCCAGTGGCTCCGTGGTAAAGAATCCTCTTGCCAATGCAGGAGATGCAAGTTTGATCCCTGGTTCCAGAATATTCCCTGGGGGAGGAAATGACAACCTACTCCAGTATTCTTGCCTATAAAATCCCATGGAGGAGCCTGGTGGACTGGGGTCCCTGGGGTCGCAGAGCACACACGCACAAAGCACAAGCGTTCATGGCAGGTGAGCCTCTCCTTGGAGCTTCTACTCCCAGGGAGGTGTAGCTGCCTGGGGCCTGGAATGGACAGGAAGAGCTGGGACTCTCTGGGCCCCACAGGTGTCAGGGTTGTTTTCGGCCCATTAGGAGCTCTGCTAATCTACTCTGGACTGGGGCCTCCATGCCTGCCACTATCCCTAGCAAGGGGTGGAGCTGGCAGAAGCCCAAAGCCTGGGGTATCTGCATCCAAATGTGGATGCTGCTACTTCCCACTTGAATGCCCAAGCCTGCTCAGCAGCCTCTCCAGCCCTGGAGGACCAGGGCCTCCAGGACAAGGAGAAGAAGGAACCAGTGGGTCCCACAGTGCCCACACCCTCTAGAGAGACCCACCCTCAGGGTGGTGTCCTCTGGGCTGCTCAGGAACACAGGAGCATGGGAGAAGATCTAATGGAGGGACTCTGGTCCTGAGAAAGGCTGCTTGGTTAGGCAGAGGGGGAAGTTCTCTGAGTCCAAACTAAAAAAAGGGTGTGACCAGCCACTTGAGAGCCTGAAGTGGATTCCTGGGCAGACTTTCAACCCAGTGCCCCATCCTGCTAGAAGGGAGACTGGATTGTGGAGCCCTGGTGGAAACTGTGATACTATCTTAAAACTGGGCACCCCAAAACTACCACCCACTCACCACCTGGTCCTAATGAGGAGGAAAGGCCCCACATACCGGCTTCCTGCCTCCAGTTCAGCTCATCATTGTTCTTTCCCTGAGCTTCAGTGGTCTCTGGCCAGACCACAGGTGTGGTGGGCAGGGTCACGGTCTCCCAAAGCTGTCCACAGCCTATTCTCTGGAACCTGTGACATTACCTACTTGGTAAGAAAGGGATGTTGCAGATTTAATTAAGTTTAAGAATTTTGAAATGAGATTAGCCAGTGGCCCCAATCTAATCATGAGTCCTTAAAAGTGGAGAACTTTCCTGGCTAAGATCAGAGAGCTGTGATGAAGGAAGGAAGGTCAGAGAGAGGTGATTTTTCTGCCTTTAAAGATAAATGGGGCTACCAGCCATGGAATGTGGGCAGCCTCTAGAAACTGGAAGAGGCAAGGAAACAGATCCTACTCTAGAGCCTCCGTAACAGAACGCAGCCCTGCCAACACCTCAGTTTTATCCTGGGGAGACCTGTATCAGACTGCTAAACAATGCAACTGTTTAGTGATAACTTGGTGGTGTTTTAAGCCACCAAGTGTGTAGAAATTTGTTACTGCAGTGATAGAGGACCAGTACACAGAGTGTGTCTTGTTCTCTCCCTGTACAGTGAGTAAAGGGATGGTGGGTATGAGCAGGCCCTGCTGTGAGGTGGAGGAAGTCCCCGGAAGCGCGGTAGGGTGTGGGGAAGGGGAGGGCCCTCGCCCCACGCCTGGAGTAGGGGAAAGGCAGGTGGTAGGCAAAGCTGGAGGCCCAGTCCTCATGGACGGGCTGCCCTGTGCTCAGTCTGAGGCTCCTAGTTTCCCTCTGACACTTTGAGCCCAAGGCACAATCCTCCCTGAGCTGCTTGGCCCCAACCCTGCCAACCTGGGAGCCTCATCTTTTCCTGACTTCCCTCATAAAGAATCAGTTGGTAAAGAATCCGCCTGCAATGCAGGAAACCCAGGGTTGATTCCTCAGTTGGGAAGATCCCCAGGAGAAAGAAATGACAACCCGCTCCAGTAGTCTTGCCTGGAAAATCCCATGGATGGAGGAGCCTAATGGGCTGCAGTCCATGGGGTCACTGAGTTGGACACGACTGAGCGACTTCACTTTCACTTTTCACTTTCATGCACTGGAGAAGGAAATGGCAACCCACTCCAGTGTTCTTGCCTGGAGAATCCCAGGGACGGGGGAGCCTGGTGGGCTGCCGTCTATGGGGTCGCACAGAGTTGGACACGACTGAAGCGAGTTAGCAGCAACAGCAGCAGCCAATATTCTTGCCTTGGAAATCCCATGGACAGAGGAACCTGGGGGGCTCCCATGGGGTTGCAAGAGTTGGACATGACTTAGAGACTAAACCACCACCATCTTTTCCCAAGGTCTGGGTTGATAACATTGCCACTGAAAGGGAATAAGACCAGGGCAAACTTTCCTCCTGGGTTCTGGCTGCTCCTGATGAAGCAGGTGTGGGCACAGGGCCAGGGTCTCCCAGGCCTGGAGTGGACGTGGCAAGGAGGGCAGGCCTAGCTATGTCCTGTCCTCCAAGAGTCAAGGACTGGGAATGGGAAACCCCGGCCCTCGGTCCTGCTTCACCACAGGGGAGTCATGAGTTCCTGTCCCTTTGAACAGAATGGGATGCCTCTTGCCCAGATGAGAGACGATAGCTTGGAGGAGACATTGGCCTTACTCCCTCTCCACTCCCCCAACAGGAGAGCTGCTTTCCAGGTCTTCCCCACCATCCAGAGATCAACCTCACACGGCAGTTACAGCTCTTGGGGCACCTGCTGCCCCAGGCCTAGGAGGGGCTTAGCCTCCAGAACTTTAGCCCTCTGTCAGTTCTGCCCTTCAGTCCGGACACCAGCCAGATAGTTTTCCAGAACACCTGAGCAGCCCTGCTTCTAAGCTCTGGGACAGGGGGAACCTCAGGCCTGAAGTCCCCAAACTGGCCTGACTCTGGGCCAGGCCTCGCCCCTATTATCTGAACCAGGGGCTCTGCAAGCCTTGGTCCCCTACACTGGGGGTAAGTATAGAAGCTGAGCCCCAGTGAAAGACTAGAGGGAGCACCCTGAAAGACATCCCAGAGGTGAGGAGAGTACCCAGTGGTGGAGGGACTGTGGGCAGGGCTCTGAGAATGCCATGGGCAGGGGAGTACAGGCACCAGGCACTGGGCCACTGCACGGTGCTGGAGTGGCTGTGGAACCTCTGTCTGACCCTTCACTCTGCAGCACCAGGGGGCCTGGTGCTGATGGAGTGGGCAAATGGCCCCAGACATTGTGTTCCTCCAGCAGCAAGACACCCTGAACCCTACCGCCCTCACCCACCAGGCTCTGTCTGGTTCCCTCAGCAATGCTGCCACTGTGCCCGTGTCTGACTGCGGGGCCATTTGCCTGTGTGCCTAAAGTGCATCGCTGGGCCCGTGTTTGAGTGCTGCACGCTCATGACTCTACACTTGCTCCCGTGTGTGGACAAGCCGGGTGTGTGTCAGTGTGTCCACCAATCTCGGCCTTGGTGTGCATGCCCCAGGGTCATCAAGGGCTCTGGCAGGGCCTGGGGCTGGATCGGGGGTCCCCAGAGTCCCCGTGGTGCTGGGCAGGGACTGCAGAAGGTGGTGGAGGCCCAATGGGCTCTGGACTCTGAGTCCTTGTGTCCTGGAGGCGGCCGCAGGGTGGGCCGCCTGCGTCAGCCTTGAGCGGCCATCAATAGCGCGCGGTTAATTAATTTGATGGGAACAGCAGGGACCGCCGTTTGCATTTAGTGAAGTTCCAGGAACTTCCAACCTCATCTTCATAATTGGCCTCATAAATTGTAAGAAAGAGAGAGATCAGCAAAGCGGGAGGGAGGAGGGGCCGCCCGTCCGTCCTTATTTAATTTTATTGCTGAAATTCATCTTTTTAGCCTCCTCCGGAATCGGCTCTCCCTGCCGGATTTGCCTAATCATGATAAATTAATATTCATTTCCCCGCCTCTTACCCAGCTCCCGCACTTGGATAGAGTTGGGGTGGGTCTCCTTCCAGCCCCTCCACCAGGCCTTGGTGGGAGCCTGGGAGAAGAGGGGCTCTGTTACTACAGGGGGTGGAGGGCGAGGGGA